TACATATAAGTTTATGGGGAAACACTATGTATGTGTAGATGTAGGGTTAAATTGTCCACACAGATGTTTTTAGGTTTTCTAGATACTACTACTGAATTTATTATTTCACTGTTAATGGCAACTATCTCAGTTATCAATGATTTTTTAGTGTGCTTCTCAGTAATGTCAGTCTTGGTATTTTCATGAACTGATTGAACTCAAAAAGAAATTGCTGTAACTGACCACCCAAGATCAGAGTTAATAACATTTCTGACTTCGTTCCCAATATGGAAAGTGGAAAATTTGGCAGATATAACCCTCAAATCGGAGGTTTCTCCAATACATTGACTTTAAACTTGTGCGTCTCAATTCAGATTTCACCCTTTCAATTAGTGTCAGTTGCTTAAACTAAGGGGTATCAATCTCCCAGTGCTACATTCCAGCCATACTATTACTTGGGCAGCAAAACTTTACTTTATCTGTTCACCGAGGACTACAAACTCCAGGAATATTAACCTCTTTTTGCAGATGCTTGTTAAGCACAGTAATCTTGCTTTATTACCGTACAGGAGTTGCTAAAAGTGGGAAAACCTGAACAAGGCAAGGGCAAAGAAGGTCTTACCTTCAATGAAGAGGGACAACAGCTCTACTCACCATGAAGAGCATTTGCCTGATCATCAGGTCATCCATACCTGAAGCATAAACTTTCAGTTCTCCAAAGAAAGGAAAAGAGACAAATCAAATATAGACAGACTACATGCAGTCAGAAGCCCCATACCCTAAATTATACATTCCTCCCCAAAACAGTAAACTATTCCCTGCTTTGTCTGCCTGTTTGATTCCAGTATAAAAGTTAAAAAAATTGTATCTGATAAATCTGAAAAATCCATTTTAGTTTGTGACAGGTTTTTTTTTTTTTTTTTTGCTCTTCCTGGCTTTGAGTATTTCCAATAGCTTTTATTCATAATAGGGTTTTCTTTTTTTTCCCATTGTATTATCAAGCAGGCAGCCTTTGAATCTCCTGTTTAAGTTTTATTTCCAATGTTACAGTACCAATTTTGCATCTCTTCTTCATCAGCCTTTGTGTTTGATTTGTGTTAGAAGTTAGCTTACTGCTATGGGTAACCCCCAGGCAGTGCTATCATTCTGTCTTGAAGTGGAAAAAAAAAAAGGCTATGCCTTTTTGGATCAGTAAAAAATAAAATAAAATGAAAATAACTCAAAAGAAAACCCCCATTGGTTGAAAAGCTTTTTAATGTCAATACAAAATATAAACAAAACGTGGTTTCTGAATGAAATATCAAGACAAATAATCCTCTTTCCCATCTGTTATTCTAAAATGGCCGCTGTGGTATAATGTTGTGAGGATACATGTGCCAGTAATGGATGAGATAAAAGCAGACATATGCTAGCAAGAAAGAATAAAAAAATGATCATAGTAAGTTATGAGCTGAACCAGTATGGAGAAATATATTCAGACATGAGAGTACAGTATCTGCCAATCTATGTGTAAAGCACATATTTCCACTGCATATAATTGTTCCAGTTGCTCAGTGCCTTCATCCCAAAGGACCTCAAGAATGGAACATGTCATCAGCATCAGCCTGGGTAAGGTTAATCCAAAATAAAGACTTCCCCATTTTCCTTAGAAACTGCTCATGAATCTAGTAAATGACCTTTGTAATTACTTGGCATTCTTGGAATAATCTCAATTTACCTGGGAATCAATTCTAGGGTTTGACCAAACTGCAAAATAACTACTCTACTTTTAAGGAATAATGGCAAACAGAAAAGATAGTATTTTCAGATCTATCTGTGAGAATTTTGTGGAGCTGTACATGAGATAGATTAAATATACTAGAGATGGCCTCTTGCCTTTGTAAATAGAAATACTGGTAATGACTGAAAGCCACAACACCTGGAAGTCTGTGGTTTGTATGAAATAAATGGGTCGTCTTACTTAAAGTCCTGGCAAACTTCAATTTGTCTGAAGAATAACTAAAACAAAGATGGTGACACAGAGGCTCCTTCATGCTCTGCTGCCAATGAGCCTCGTCTTACCCTCTGGTTGGAAAATGGTATTTCCTACAGGAAATTCCAGGAACTTAACATATGGAGCCACTCCAATTTGAAACAAGCCCAAATCTCAGACTTTATTTTTTTTCCCCCTGCAAAATGAAGCTTTCCACAATATTTAATTTTGGTCGCACCGAAACACTGAAATAATGCAAGATGCACATTTGAATCTCCAGAGACATTAGCACAGGCACCTGTAGGGGACAGAGTACATTTCCTAGGTGCCTTTAAAAAACGATACTCCTGTTAAAGTAGACCTATTTCCCACAGCTAAGCTGGCATTGCAGAGAAGGCATAGAAAGGAGTGGTGTGTACAAACAGGCACATACACATCCTCAGCAGTCAGTTTGCTCTTTCCATTTCATTCACCTCAGGAATCAGTTTTGCAGACTGGTCCCTCCACAGAGACTGTGCTCTTGAGATGTGGACAGTCCCCACAGCTTAACCTGAAGTAACCTCAGCAGGCCTTCACTATCTGCAGTGTGAAGTTTCCTGTCAGCCCCTTGAACCTTCCCTTTGTGCCCAACAGCACGTCGTGTCTTCACATCAGTTCCTCTTCTGCTGTGGAGCACCAAGCAGTGGCCAGGAAATCTGTGCTTTCTCTCCCAGCTTCTATTGTGTCATCATTGCCTCATCACCTTTATTCATATTTTTCACTTTTCTCCTTTGCCATATATTCAAATTACAAATTCAGGGGGAGTGTGTGTTTGTGGGAACAATTTTTCAGTACATGGCAATATTTTTTGTTCCTCAGCATTGAAAAATCCTTGTGTTCATAACTACACAGGAAGACAGGGCTTGCTGCTGACCTGTGCACATGATGAAGCTGGTGAATAAAACTGTGTTCAAACTTTTCAGGAAAGGGATAAATATATTTAAATTGTCAGGAATGTAGTGACTTACAGCACTAATTGTATAAGACAAATGCAATGTAATTTATACAATTCAACTTTCCTTTACATCTATTATGTTCATTATAATGTCCATAATGTTGTGGACTAGTCTTCAGACACTGCTGGGGGAATAAATTTAAGAACAGAATTTAGCCAGGATTCATCAGTTGCATAAGAAGAGGTAAGACACTGGAATGTGCCAGTGTCAAGATCTGTCTGGGGAAAATCTGGCTCAACACATGATATTTAAGTTACAAATGAATCTGGCAACCCAAAATATACAACTGATGATTAAATAGTGTCATATCCTTCTTCATGAAGAATCCATTGAATGCAAGTTCAGATTTTTCCTCTTCTGTGGATCGACCAAAAAACCCATAGCAAGGATTTACTATTGCCTTTGAAAACATTTGGCAATTTTTTGATACAATTAACTGCTACACTCATCCTAATGAGATTAATTCTCAGAACAAATATTGAACCTGAATTAAAGTCACATAGCAGAACAACCCAGATTGCTTTTGGCTATTTAGATCCAGGTGTGGTGTTGAACTCTGGATTGTATCTGTTATTGTAAGTAAAAGACCAGATCTAATATATACACCATGATTAATTCTATTTTCCTCCAGTATTTTTTTTTGTCTCTAAACTTCTCTTGTTCTTTCTTCTTCTACCATGACAAAGATATTGAGATAGGCAAGCCTGGTTTATATTCAGATTTGCTATGAGCAATGAAATTGTGATAAATTTGTATCCAAAATAAATTAATTTGTCTAAAGATGTGGAAGATTAATGATGGGAGGGTAGATGAGATGAAGATGAGTCTACTGAGATAAATGACTTGAGACTTTTGACAATGATTATTTCATGAAAGAAAATAGTAGATTCTCAAATCTTCTTTGGAAGAACTATGTGGAAACCACAGCACATGTGCTGCAGAAATAGTGGCATCCTCTATTAATTCCTATATTCCCACAGCATAAAGCAGGGGAGTATATCAAGGGCATGACTGGTTTTTATGGTTTTATTGTGCTCAGAAACTTTCTAAATGTTTATGAATTGTTGTCACAAGACTTATTTTCAAAAAACCTTCAACCACTTAAAAATGTTTTAGCTTGAGAAAGACAGGGTACCTTGAGATCCCAATTACTTCTCCTATTAGCCAACATGCTCTGCTTGAATGAATACACACAATTGTGGTGGAGAATCCATGCCAGTGTACAGCACGTCTTCCAGTGCTGAATAAATAAGCAGCCTGATGACTGCAAAGGGCCCTTGAGCCACCGAGCCAGCCTCCTTCTTGTAGCATGGAGGAAAAATAATCCAGTTTTGAGGCAAGTAATTAATTACTTGGTCCTGTCTCCAACAAGGGCTTTTTTGGATGTGTTGCTCAAGTCATTTAGATCTTGTCCATAGAAAGTTTTGGTTGACTATAGTGCTGGACCTGGGTGGAATTTGGTTCCTGAGTGACAATCTATTTAGAAATCTGTGGATATCAACATTTTCACTTGTAGAATTGCTCTAATTTCTAGAGTCCTGTTGCTGTGCATTAATAGAAGTACCATCATTTTAGCAGATTAATTAAGTGGTTTGGTGTTACTTTAATATCTGGGTCTAGCTGGGATCCACATATTCTGCTGAAACCTGCTACAGATCTAGTATAGTATATTTAACTTAAGCTTGTCTAGGCAATGAGTTTGCTAAGATCAATGGAAAATAAGAGTGTTACTGAAAGATCATGCTTCCCATTTCTGTGATGTAATTATATCTAGGGTATTCACTGCAGATAGAGAAGACCTACTTTCAATTTTTCCCCCAGCTTCAGGGAGTATTTACCCAAATTTTTTACCTTTTAGCAGACTGTACTCTGCTGTGAGTCATCATCTTTCCTTCTGAAACTCTGCCGCCAGGCAGAAACACATGCAAGAGGAGTTTTCACAGAAAGAAAATTCCAGCAAAAATGTAATACCAGACTTTTATGGATTGGATTGGATAAATTTACAGCTGAAGGAAACTATTTCTTTCTCTGTCTGTCATGTCTTGTTATCATAGCTGGGAGACATGGGAAGTGAATCAAGGGCACAGTGCTGAGGCTCCATATCTTTCACCTTCAACCCTCAGAAAGGCTCACAACTTAATGCCTTTATATCCATTTTGGTAAGTATATGTCCATTTCAGGTAAGTTTTATATTTTTTATTTGCAGATTAATGTTAATAATATGGTTTTGTTTTGTCAGCAATGTTTGTTTGTTCTAAATAATTGTGCCTACAGTAGATGTGCTGATCTCCATGGTGTAAAAGAGTCACAAAAACAGGTTCTCCAACAGTGGCCCATAAATGAGGCCACAGAAATGGGTCTTCTGGGCAGTATTCATTTCTAGGTTTAGAGGCCCTATACTTTCATCTAAGCTGCCTGTGGACATTTTTGGGTATGAAACCAGAGTATGGCTTGGGTCTATGCCTCATCAGCTGCAATGAGATATGTCTACTGCTCAAGCACTGCATTTTGGCAGACTGTTTGTATGCAGACAGTGCAGATCTGCCAGGTTCTCATACTGAATCTAGAATTATTTCTTGTTCAGTATTGTCTTTCCTTTCTTGATGCTATCTATTTTGAATCATGGTTTTGAAGGTTTTCATACAGGCTATTTAAGGTCAAAGTGGCTTTTAAAATGTTTAGACAAGCTTGCTGCCCTGATTAAGACTAAGGATTGGGAATTCCCAGAATGGGTGTGCAATGAAGAGAAAGCAAATGGGTGATGGCTATGAGAAAGTGACAAATACATAGAGAGAAGACTCATTTTCAGGTACACACCACCAACAAGGTGTGAACTGCTAAATTTCTAAAATTGATTTAAGATAAACAACTGCCTTTTTACTTATCCATAGTTTTAATTTTCAGTATTGAGTACTGAGTCATGCTTCTGCAGACTTGCAGAACTTCACAGCTTGAATGTCCAGATTCGCAGATTGGATCTTCCTGTTCTCTCCTTGCTTCAACCATTATGAGAAACAGTTGGTTTGTATCTTCTATTTGTCTGTTTGTCCACAGCAGTATTTAATGGGGGGATTGTTTTACTGAGCTATGTGAACAAAGTTTTTTCTCTACCTGGCCTTAGCAGTCCTTCAGAGTAATTGCCAACATGATCAAGACAATATTAAGAAGAAATACCTGTCTTATTCCATTTATTTCTTTACAGCGCAGGAACACCCAACATTTTAGCAATTTCCCTGTCTGCACACTGTTCCATGAGCTCTGTGGATCACAGCTGAAGAAATTCTGATGCTTCATATTTCAGAAGAAAACATTTCCATTATTTTAATAATAAAGATCCTGTTCTTCCCCCTCAATTTTCTGTCTGACCACTTTTGTCACTTTAATGAGATTTTATTCAGGTTGTCTCTTCTTGAGTCCTAGAGCTGGAAACACTGAAAATCATCAGATGCAAAGTTTACTGTGTGATTCTTAGTGCTCTCACACTGCAAAATTACAGAAAATATCTGTGAAATATAAATACAGAGGTTAAAATTCAGTGGCTATGGAAATGGGGTCAATATAATAAACCTGCAACACTAGATAGAATGTGAAGACTGCTAGTGGATAATAACTGATGAAATCACATAATTCTCTTCTCAAAGGCATAAATATAAAGATTCTCTATGTAGCAGAAGTTAAATTTCTCTGTGTAATGAATAATAACATTTAACTACATTTAAGAACTTAGCTCAGCTATTAGTAATGCAAAAGGGAAGACTTTATTTAATATGTTAGAAGATGGCTAAGACTTCAAGTATTCCAGGCTTTTGAAGCACTAAGTAAGTTTGTGGGTTAGAGTGTCTTGAGTTTATGAGTATGGAATACAGTGCTTCACACCTTCCAAGGAACAGCTTGTGCTGCTCTCTGTTGTTATTGTCAGCACAACTGGGAGAATAACATCCCTTTTTCCTACTGAATTTATAGCAGTTATGTTTAGAAGACAGAGCAAGACTGGGCCTCAAAGCAGCGGAAGAACAAAAGGATGTTCCCAAGGGATTGTTTACAGTGACACACTGGAGGGTCCTGCTTCCTAATTGTCCTTGCTGGACAAATGGCCTGCCTTGTCTTGTTTATTTTCTGTCCTGGAGTTTTTGTGTTTCCCTCTTTCAGGGGGAGGGAAGAAGTGTGTGTGTGTATGTGGTGGGAAAGAAAGAGAGGGGGAGAGAAGAGAGGAGGTTGGGAACCCCTGTCCAGCCCCCACATGGGATCAGAACATGTAGACTTTCAAATCAGAAGTTATACTGGTACTGTGAGTTTAGATGAATGGCAGTATCCAAGATATATGAAGTATTTTCTCTTTTTCATTGTAAGCTAATTCAATCCATTAAGGATCTTGAAATGATATGCTTAAATATTGCTGTACTGAAGTAAGTGTCTGAAAGAGCAAATAAAACCAAAAGGCCAATGTCAAAAACTTTGATTCATGTAAATTTACTCTACCCATACAAAAAAATCTCTCAACTTGCTTCAATAGCTAAAGACTAATTGGAAGACTGAAGATTTGTAGTATCTAGGCTTTAACTAGTAATATGAATAACTGGAAACCTAACACCACAAATCAAATGTGTTAATTCCTGTGTTGCTGTGATTCATAGAGCTTCCAAAGAGTTTTGGAACACTTTACTGCATACCAACATAAAAGTGTTTCTGTCCACAAACTAAGCAGAAAAGCTACTGCAGGAGGAAGGAAACTTTTTTTAATTATGAAGAAAGCAAGCGTGGAGAACTGATTTTAATGTTATAGTGTACCACACCATGCTGTTAAAATCAGCTTTGGAAATTGGCATACAGGAGTTAGTATGAGGATGTTGATGTAAGTCTGTCCATAGCAGAATTGACTATAGCTTACCACTCCTGTTTAATACACTTGATTTTATCAAATATCAGGTTTACTTTAGAATAAAGAACTCAGAACCCTAAATAAAGGAAGTGATTCTAATATTCTGAGTCACTTCAGCCATATATCACCCTGCCTTCCCCACCTTAGCTGTAGAAAAGTTAGAGATTTGTATGAAAGTAAGGATTAATAACACCTCTGTACTGGTAATAGTGATAATAATACACAGATTGAGTTGTTTGCCATGGGACTTAAAAACAGAACAAAGATTTGACTGGACAACATACAGAGCTGATTTCCATTTTGGTTTGTCATACAGTGATAACAAAAATGTTGTTTAATTAGGTAGTCACATATAATATTACCCAGGGTGCAAATCTTGTCTTTCTTGCTAAGAACATTGTAGTCAGTTTGCATTACTGGAGTATGTGTGTTTTGAATTGTAGGTGTATAATGGCATAATGCTGAATCCTTTGAACATTTCTGATACTATTCTTTCAACTTTGTGGAATAAAAGAGTCCATATTCCAGAATAGTGTATTCTTCCACTTCTAAACAATAAAAAGGAGGCCATCTATCAAATTGGCAGGCTCATATCTTTTGTAAGCATGTACAAACCACACGCCAACTGGATGAACAGCTGTCAGAGAAGTCTCTTGTCAGCAGGTGGGTTAAAGTTTGCAAATTCATGTGTACACATGCAGACATTCATATCCTTTTCTCGTGAAGATCAATAACAAGATTTCCAAATGTGTTTGCAGTCATGATTTACTCTGGATGCTTCAGCTTTCTTTTGTTCTTTGGCGCACCTGTCTCTTGTTATCTGTTTGCAATACGTTTGTCCGCCATGTGAGAAACTTTACAGTGAGTGAAATCTGGAGAGATAAATAGTATAACTGAGTTTGTTTTTTTGATTCCTTCATAAATCCCAGGTAAACATTTTGTGTTTAACCATTTGTCATAGTTTAACCCCAGAAAGCAGACAAGCCCTGTGTACCTACTCATTCACTCCCCCACCAGTGGGATCAGGGGAAGAACTGGAAGAGTAAAAGATAGAAAATTCATGGATTAAGATTAGTTTAAGACAGTTTAATAAGGAAGCAAAAGCTGCACACACAAAGCAAAGGAAATCAAGGAATTAAATCACTTCTTCTCATTGGAAGGAAGCTGTTTAGCCATCTCCAGCAGAGCAGGGCCCCATCACATGTAATGGTGACTTGGGTAGACAAACACCATCACTCCAAACTCCAAATGCCCCCCCCCCACTTCCTTCTTCCCCCTACTTTATATAGTTAGTGTGATGCCACATGGTCTGGGATATCCCTTTGGTCAGTTTGGGTCATCTGTCCCAGCTGTGTCTCCTCACAACCTCCCATGCACCCTCAAAGTCCTTGCCAGCATGGCATTATGAAAAGTGGAAGAGGCCTTGTCTGTGTGAAAGACCTACTCAGCAATAACCAAAGCATCTCTGTATTATCAACTCTGTATTCAGCACAAACATAAAACACAGCCCCATACCAGCCACAGGGAAGAAAACTAACTGTACCTGAGATAAAGCCAGCATACCATTCTACTGTCACATTTTCCAGGACATGGAAAATACTAGCTGCTTTCTGGTCTCATCTAGTATCATGCATATCTTGGAAAATTACATTGCAGTCTTTGTCTTGAATAGAGTCCTAGTCTTGGGTCATTATTTTCTTGTGTAATGAATTTTAGATGACAAGAAGTATGTGAAGGAAATGAAGAAATGCAAACTGGTCCAGATGATTTAGAAGCATCACCACAGCAAAAGGACATTCTGGAAAGAAGCTCATGCTTAAGGACTGAGATAAACATTCTTTATGGCAGACATCAAGAACTGGTCCATAAACATATTCCCAAATCTATGTGATTCAAAATCTATACAGGTAGGCTTACCATCTTCCTAAGTATATGGGAGTTTTCAGGGTAGTTCTAGTCTTTAAGCTAGACACAATGACAAACAAGTGCTGTAACACCTTCACTGCTGGTGAACCCGACTTGGTAAACCCAAATGTTCAGCAATCTGAACTTCCCTCTTGGTAGGAGGATCCTCAGTAATGCCTGTGATTAAGTAAGGTGTCCACAGTGGCTGATCTGAATATATCCTACAGTCATTACATGAAATGCTCCAAGAGTGTCACACAGTGCAGATAACTTATCTAAGGCATACTTATTGCCCACACTTATTTCTCAGTGTCTGCAGGCATCACCTCCAGAATCACAGAGTTCCCTAACAAGATATGGCCAGAATGCTAAGAATCGTGCTGCTGAAAAATAAATTGAAAGCATAAACACATTAATTCCTACAGTTTGGCATAAATATTTATTTTTCAATTAGACAAGATGTTCTGAGTAGCATAAATCCCCTTTATAGTTCTGTTTGGTTCAGTACTTAATCCGTTACTTTCCTGAGCAGTGAAAGCTCAACACTTAACTTTTTAACTTTCATCTCAGATAAGTGCCATAAATTTGCAAGGTGATTTAGAATGCAAATCATGAATAGAATTCAATACTTCTAGTGCTGGTCCTTTATGAATCCAGACCATATAAAACTTCATCAATATCTATATTAAACAGTTATTGATCAGAATTTTATGGAAGCCTTTATTCACAACAGACTAGTGTTCCCAGTATGAACCTAGGTCTTTGGGAAAGGCACAGACACAGGTTTGTAATTTTTTAATGATTATCCTTATATACATATATATACATATATACATATATATATATATATATATATATATATATATATATATATATATATATATATATATATAATTTATATCTGGAATAAACAGATACATCCATACATTTTTGCACAGATGTGAAAAATCTTATTATCAGATCATGTGAGAAGAGGGAAAAATACTGTGTTTTCTGAGTAATTTAAATAAAACCATATTAAATATGATAAGAATAAAAAGGAATTAATAATGTGTTTTACAAGTCAAACCATGTAAAAGATAATAAGGAAAAGAAAAGCAACTTAGAATACACCTGAAAAGTTGAAATTTAAAGACTAAGTAATAACACAAGAAACAGCAGCCTAGTTACTCGTCTGCAAAGGTTGTTTCATTATGAGAGTGTTTTTCTCTATGATTCAGAAGCTGGAATATTAAAAATCCTACTCTGATTGAAGTTAGAGGTGTTTTGCCTTTGATTTCATTGATAGCAAAAATTTGCTTTCTGTAAAGCCAAAAGGGATCTGATTAAGATCTAGCTGACCAATATTCTGTGTAAAGTTTATTATCCAAAGGCAGTAACATTGTCAGTAATGAAAAACATGGTGTATCCAGATAACCAATTAATCCCAAACTGCAAATTGAGGATATAATGCAAGACTATTTAAATGTTAAACAAAATGTTTTGGGATTTAATTTTTAGAAAAAGAATTATGTACCTTCCTAACTTCCCTGTTGTTGGGCATGAGGAAAGCTTTCTAAGTGGCTTTAT